TCTTTAACCTAAACCAATTTCAGAAATCCAACGCCTACTATTACCGATTTGATTCCGGTCAAGTGGGAACCAATGAAAGACGGAGATACATACAATTATTTAAGCATTGATACTGAACTTCGAATGAAAACCCTCCGAAAAAAAGAGCAACGATGGGATTGGAAGAACATAAAGATGAAGTTATAACATTTTGTGTGTGTTTACAAAAAATAAATAATGATAAGTCTTTCTTAGTATTAAAATTGATTTTTTAAACATTTGGGATTGATAATAAATACTTTTTCGTGTGTCTGTAAAGATTTTTTATACCTAAAATTTTTGTACACTTATACGATAAATGTTATGAGATTGCTATCGCCTGTATCTTATTCCGAAGTTTACAACATCAAGAAAATAACAATATGATAAATCGTTTGACGCAAATGTGGACTGATTTTAATAAAACAAGGTGCTGCACATAACATTTTTCTTCAATTATATATACATCTTACGATTTAATAATAAATAATTTGGGATTAATTTTAGAAGTTCCACGCTTATTATTGCAAATTTAACTTCGATTAAGTAACTATCATTGATGTACAGAGCTAAAGCAGATTATTTAAAGATTTAGATTCAATTTTAAACAAACACCTTCCGTTGAAAGGAGAACTACGATGAGATTGAAAATAATGTGAAAATTATGACGCGTAAAATATTTAGTATTAAAATTGAATTTTATAGCATAATTCATATTCTTTATGAATATTTTTTTCGTCATTCTTTGAAAATATTTCTTGTATTATCATATTGCAAAAGTATTATCATATTTTTCTAAATCTATATATTTGCAATAAATATATAATGTAATATATTAAAATAAAATAAAAGTAAGATTTTTTCATTTTTACAATTATATTAGTCTTATAAGAAATAACATCATTGCATCGACCTGTATCCACAAACATCGATAAAATTGTATAAATAAAAAAATTAAACGTTACTCTTATATCTTTATTGGCTACATTAACCAACTATGCAGTGATAATGTTCGCACAATCTCGTCAACCACGTCTATCAGTTATTCGATTTTTCAAAAAAATAGCTATCATTGGTCAGTTTCATAACAACGAATGTTACTAAAGCCGATTAAGGATAACGTGTAAATGCAGTCAATGATGGTATATAACTACGTATGATACGGAGCAGCAGTTCTGCATTCGCAGTCACACTGTGTCAAACGACGGACATATTAACGTTATTCTCTCGTCATCCATTCAACATATACATCATGGATAACAATAGAGTCAATGTGAATGTCAGTGAAGGAAAATTAATCGGTATCATCACAGAAAATGTCTACGGTGACAAGTACATCGCCTTCCGAGGTATACCATACGCGAAACCGCCAGTTGGAGAACTCAGATTTAAGGTGAATATAGAACGTCGTTGTCTCTAACCTTCAATCCTAATTTAACTTTAAGTCTGATTTAACTAACACTCTGTAAAAGAAATCGGTAAATTTACATAACTAAAATGTAAAAATTACACGATAAATAACAGAAATTTACTAAATATATAATGTAAATTTACATAATTTCATCTATTTTTTTAAATATATTTGCAATATTTATCAGGTAATTTTTATATCTTAGCTGTGTAAATTTATCGAATTTTTTTACACTGCAGCTTATTTATCACATTTTACTATTGTTGTGGGTCCAAAGAACCACAACCAATTATTAATAATAAAATATATATATATTAATAAAATATAAGAAGATATCTATTGCATATCAGATTAAAATATCTAATATTCAGTTTCCGGCTCATGCGAGACACCGGATAAATCGCGCAGCGAAAATTAAAACCTAATTCACTTTTTACGCGACAATGCTGACGAACGATCGAATTTCGTCAGCAAGTTAGATCGTTAAAACTACAATCAAGTGCAGTTTCACGTATATAAAATCGCCGTCGCGAGATCACGACAGCGGGTCTAAAACTATCAGTCACAAGAAACGGACGTATGTCCGTTGGGACCACAAATCTAGAAGAACGCGAATTATAACAATTCGCAAAAAGCGAATAAGAATAACTTGGGGCTCCGTGATACCACACTAAGACAAGGACTCCTGACGGAACCTAGACTACCTAGAAGTAAGGGAATTTGTAATAAACCAAGAAACCAATAAATATATGGGAGACTGTTTTTTATTGAAAAAGAAACGTCAAAGGATTATTCCCGGATTCCCGGCCTAACTCCTCGACAGATCCCGAACCCGTGCCCTATCACCAAGGGCACAACACTATAAATTTTTCTATTTATGTGAAATTGAAACTAACCAACATAACATTTAAAAACAATGTATAACATTGATAACATTATTTTCAGCTATACTGCAATTATCTCTTATTCGATTGATAAAACTGATAAATGATATGCATTAAACTCATGTTACGTAATGTGTAAAGTTTGAAATGTATAACATTCAGCTTATCATAGCAGTGTTTCATAGATAAACAAAATAATATAAATGCAAAAAAAAATGTAAATAGATGTAAATATAAATGTAAAAAAGATAACATTTTATTTCAAACAAAGAAAAACTACATTTTAACATCTGTAAAACTGATACATATTGGTTACTTTTATTATAAATTTCTGAAGCTTTTACATATATGTATTAACGAATTACCAATATTCCAAACTACAAAGTTCAACATAAATTGTAATATGGAAAGTGCATCTATTATAAATAAATATATATAAATGATTGTAATTGAATTTATTAGCTAATTTTACGTATTTAGGATCCGGTACTACCGGAATCGTGGTCTGGTGACAGAGATGCATCGAAATTTGAAAATAACGCCGTTCAACTGGATATATTCACACAGCAAATAACTGGCAACGAAGATTGCCTCTATTTGAACGTGTATACCACGAATATAAACCTTGAGAACAAACGCCCCGTGATGGTGTGGATACATGGTGGCGGCTTTTTCGTCGGATCGGGCGATGACACTTTTTATGGCCCCGATCATATTGTCCAAAAGAATGTTGTACTAGTTACGCTAAATTACAGATTAGGCGTTCTTGGTACGTCGCCCATTTGTAATATAAACTATTATGATACTCGTAATCGACTAAATTTTCGAAATAAATTTTTAGAATCTGAGTTTCTCGCATTTCAAATTTCATACTGATTCAAAAAACAAACAATTCTGAAAATCAATTTTCCAAAAACTAAATTTTATCAAAAAGAAGTTTTATTTTACGATTTCCAGATATATTTTTGCACATAGAATCATTTCACATTCGTTTTTACTAAAAGATACGACTCTTTAAATACGCGTCTTCTCAGGTTTTCTGAATTTGTACGATAAAGTGGCGACGGGCAATCAAGGTCTGAAGGATGTTATCATGGCACTACAATGGGTTCAGAAAAATATATCAAATTTTGGTGGAGATTCGAGAAATGTTACCATCTTTGGGGAAAGCGCTGGTGCAGCTACTGTCCATTATTTGACTATATCTCCATTAGCTGAGGGTATAAACCACAACTTTATTGATATATACACAATGCGTTTAAACAACCATGTGCACAATTACGGATTTGTTGACTAATATGCAATTGATTTATCCTCATAAGTATCCAGATGCGAAACTTTGGAATATATAAAAAATAAAAATTTTTTCAATTAATTTCAAAATATAGCTTACTGTACTCTAACAATTTTAAACTGCAACATCCAAAATAAAATCAAAGTTAAAAAATAAATAGATATTAAAGTATTCAAATTAAAGAATTTGTAGTAAATAAAACTATTTCCCTAAATATTTTCATTGAACCAAACTCTCTAAATAAATCAAATTGATGTAGTTTAAACGCTCGTTAACGCTATGTGTATGCGCCAGGTTTATTTCACAAAGCAATTGCGCAAAGTGGCGCTGCCACGAATCCTTGGGCTTTTACTGAACGAGAGCCCCCTTCAACGAATAAAGGTTTTCAGTTAGCTGAGAAACTCGGAAAAGCGACCACAGATGCCAAAATCGCATATGAGTTTCTCAAAAAAATTGATGCCAAGAAGCTTATACAGACTGAACAACAAGATCTTTTGACCGAAGAAGTAAGTTTCTTTAAATTTTACAGCTTTATATATATATTTATATTTCAATATGTGTGGTTGCAGTCTTAATTATGAATATGTAGATTTATATGTAAAATATTATCATTCTTTTGCAGGAACGTCAACAAAGTCTTGTAACATTCACACCAAGTATGGATAATGAGTCATCGAACCCAGTTTTTCCAAAACCAATAAACACGTTAATTAATCGTGGAATAAAAGTACCGCTCCTTGTAGGATATACTAACGACGAAGGATTGTTTGTAAAAAGCATTTTTAGTGCTCGTAAGTACACTTATTTTTACTTTTATTAAGATATGTTTTATTCTAAACGTTATAAAGTAAAATATGAAAAATTTTTCTGAAATATTATCCACTTGACGTGCAACTCGATACATAATAAATTCACATATAGTTTACATAATTGTAGATAATACTACGATAAAAATCGTTGAAATCATTTCAGGCAGAAAGAAGGAAGTTCTTGAACAAGTCAATTCCGATTTCAAGAAAGCCATAACATCCAGAATTTTGTCTACGCTGCCAGAAATACCGATTACTGTTGAAGAATTACGCTCTTTATATTTTGGCGACAAAGCAGTGTCAGAAGAAACTCTGAAAAATTACGTAGATTTTAATGGCGACCAAGAATTTTATCGAGGTCTTATGGAAGCAGTTGATATTCAAATAAAATCTGGTCATAGTTCAACGTACCTATATAATTTTTCATACGAAAACGAAAATTGTCCTATGAGAAAAATGATGGGTATTACGCTTCCAGGTACTACATCTGATTAATTAAAAATCTTTAATTCTATGTAGAACAAACATTGTCACACCACATAATTATAAAAAAGTTTTATTCTTCAATTTACATGTTATTTTAAGAAATATTGAATGTGATTCTGCTTGAAATATTTTTTATTAAAAAAGAAAACTAAATTGTTTTATCAGTATATAAAAAAAATATTACGTCAAAAATACTAAACTATAATTTGTCCGAAATATCATTACACATTTTATGAAAAATTTGGAAGAAATTATTATTACAATTAATTTACAGTTTGACAATATTTTGTAGGAGTATGTCATGCAGAGGATTTGTACTACTTATTTTATCCCCATATGATAAAAGATTTAGGCTTCTTACCGCCTGAATTGGATTCGGAAGAATACAAAGTAATAAGTCGCTTTGTACAAATGTGGACGGATTTTGCTAAAACAGGGTATGTAACGAACTTAATACACACCTTTTTTCGAATCTTAGAAAGAATGATACTAATTCATTTCTTTAACCTAAACCAATTTCAGAAATCCAACGCCTACTATTACCAATTTGATTCCGGTCAAATGGGAACCATTGAAAAACGGAGATACATACAATTATTTAAACATTGATACTGAACTTCGAATAAAAACCCTCCGAAAAAAAGAGCAACGATGGGATTGGAAGAACATGAAAATAAAATTATAACACTTTGTGTATGTTTATGAAAAATAAATAATGATAAGTCTTTCTTAGCAATAAAATTGGTTTTTTAAACATTTGGGATTCATAATAAATACTTTTTCGTGTATCTGTAAAGATTTTTTACACCAAAAATTTTTGTACACTTATGAGGTTGCTATCGCCTGTATCTTATTCCGAAATTTACGACATCAAAAAAACAACAACGTGATAAATCGGTTAAATGTGGACTGATTTTGATAAAACAGAAAGCTACACGTAACATTTTTTTTCAATTATATAATTATATAATATATAATTATATAATTCTATATAATATATAATTCTATATATATAATATATAATTATATAATTAATAAATAATTATATAATTCTTACGATTTAATAATAAATAATTTGGGATTAATTTTAGAAGTCCCACGCTTATTATTGCGGATTTAACTTCGATTAAGTAACTATCATTGAAATACAAAGCTAGAGCAGATTATTTAAAGATTTAGATTCAATTTTAAATAAACACCTTCTGTTGAAAGAAGAACTACGATAGGATTGAAAATAGGTGAAAAACAAATTATGACGCGTAAAATATTTAGTATTAAAATTGAATTTTATAGCATAATTCATACTTTTTATGAATATTTTTTTCGTCATTCTTTGAAAATATTTTTTGTATTATCATATTGAAAAAGTATTATCATAATATATTTTTCTAAATCTATATATTTGCAATAAATTTATAATGTAATATATAAAAATAAAATAAAAGTAAGATTTTTTCATTTTTAAAATTATATTTGTCTTATAAGAAATAACATCACTGCATCGACCTGCATCTACAAGCATCGATAATGATATCGATAAGATTCTATGAATAAAAAAATTAATCGTTACTCTTATATCTTTATTGGCTACATTAGTCAACTACGCAGTGACTACGTTTACACAATCTCGTCAACTGCGTCTATCAGTCATTCCATTTTCCAGAGGAATAGCTGTCATTGGTCAGTTTCATCAACGGATGTTATTAAAGCCGATTAAGGATAACGTGTAAATGCAGTCAATGATGGTATATAACTACGTATGGTACGGAGCAGCAGTTCTGCATTCGCAGTCACACTGTGTCAAACGACGGACATATTAACGTTATTCTCTCGTCATCCATTCAACATATACATCATGGATAACAATAGAGTCAATGTGAATGTCAGTGAAGGAAAATTAATCGGTATCATCACAGAAAATGTCTACGGTGACAAGTACATCGCCTTCCGAGGTATACCATACGCGAAACCGCCAGTTGGAGAACTCAGATTTAAGGTGAATATAGAACGTCGTTGTCACTGACCTTCAATCCTAATTTAACTTTAAGTCCGATTAAACTAACACTCTGCAAAAGAAATCGGTAAATTTACATAACTAAAATGTAAAAATTACACAATAAATAACAGAAATTTACTAACTATATAATGTAAATTTACATAATTTCATCCATTTTGCACTATTTTTTTCAATATATTTGCGATATTTGTCAGGTAATTTTTATATCTTAACTGTGCATATTTATCGAATTTTTTTACATTGCAGCTTATTTATCACATTTTACTATGAATTTTTCTATTTGAAATATCTTATGTGAAATTGAAACTAACAGATAACCAAAATAACATTTAAAAACAGTGTATGACATCGATAAAATTATTATCAGCTATACTGCGATTATCTCTTATTCGTTTGATAAAACTGATAAATGATATGCATTAAACTCATGTTACGTAATGTGCAAAGTCTGAAATGTATAACATTCAGCTTATCATAGCAGTGATTCATAAATAAACAAAATAATATAAATACAAAAAAAAAGTAAATATAGATGTAAATAGATGTAAATATAAATGTAAAAAAGATAACATTTTATTTCAAACAAAGAAAAACTACATTTTAACATCTGTAAAACTGATACATATTGGTTACTTTTATTATAAATTTCTAGAGCTTTTACATATATGTATTTACGAATTACCAATATTCCAAACTACAAAGTTCAACATAAATTGTAATATGGAAAGTGCATCTATTATAAATAAATAAATATATATAAATGATTGTAATTGAATTTATTAGCTAATTTTACGTATTTAGGATCCGGTACTACCGGAACCGTGGTCTGGTGACAGAGATGCATCGAAATTTGGAAATAACGCCGTTCAGCTGAATATATTCACACAGCAAATAACTGGCAACGAAGATTGCCTCTATTTGAACGTGTATACTACGAATATAAACCCTGAGAAGAAACGCCCCGTGATGGTGTGGATACATGGTGGCGGCTTTTACTTCGGTTCGGGCGATGACACTTTTTATGGCCCCGATCATATTGTCCAAAAGGATGTTGTACTCGTTACGCTAAATTACAGATTAAGCGTTCTTGGTACGTCGCCCATTTGTAATATAAACTATTATGATACTCGTAATCGACTAAATTTTCAAAATAAACATATTTAGAATGAGTTTCTCGTATTTCAAGTTACACACTGATTCAGAAAACAAACAATTCTGAAAATCAATTTTCCAAAAATTAAGTTTTATCAAGAAGAAGTTTTATTTTATGTGTTCCGGATATATTTTTGCACATAGAATCATTTCACATTCGTTTTTACTGAAAGATATGACTCTTTAAATACGCGTTTTCTCAGGATTCCTCAATTTGTACGATAAAGTGGCGACGGGCAATCAAGGTCTGAAGGATGTTGTCATGGCACTACAATGGGTTCAGAAAAATATATCAAATTTTGGTGGAAATTCGAAAAATGTTACCATCTTTGGGGAAAGCGCTGGTGCAGCTACTGTCCATTATTTGACTATATCTCCATTAGCTGAAGGTATAAACCACAACTTTATTGATATGTACACAATGCGTTTGAACTACCACGTTCATAATTACGAATTTATTGACTAATATGCAATTGATTTATCCTCAAAAGTATCCAGATGCGAAACTTTGGAATATATAAAAATAAAAATTTTCTTCAGTTAATTTCAAAATATAGTTTACTGTACTTAAACAATTTTAAACATCCAACATCTGCAACATCCAAAATAAAGTCAGATTTAAAAAATAAGTAGATAATCAAGTATTCAAATTAGAGAACTTGTAGTAAATAAAACTATTTCCCTAAATATTTTTACTGAACCAATCTCTCTAAATAAATCAAATTGACGTAGTTTATATGCTCGTTAACGCTATCTGTATGCGCCAGATTTATTCCACAAAGCAATTGCGCAAAGTGGCGCTGCCACGAATCCTTGGGCTTTTACTGAACGAGAGCCCCCTTCAACGAATAAAGGTTTCCAGCTAGCCGCGAAACTCGGAAAAGCGACCACAGATGCCAAAGTCGCATATGAGTTTCTCAAAAAAATTGATGCCAAGAAGCTTATACAGACTGAACAACAAAGTCTTTTGACCGAAGAAGTAAGTTTCTTTAAATTTTACAGCTTTATATATATATTTATATTTTAATATGTGTAGTTGCAGTCTTAATTATGAATATGCAGATTTATATGTAAAATATTTTCGTTCTTTTGCAGAAACGTCAACAAAGTCTTGTGATATTCACACCAAGTATGGATAATGAGTCATCGAACCCAGTTTTTCCAAAACCGATAAACACGTTAATTAATCGTGGAATAAAAGTACCGCTCCTTGTAGGATATACTAATGACGAAGGATTGTTGGTAAAAAGCAACTTTAGTAATCGTAAGTGCACTTATTTTTACTTTTATTAAAATATGTTTTATTGTAAACGTTATAAAGTAAAATATGAAAAATTTTTCTAAAATATTATCCACTTGACGTGCAACTCGATATATAATAAATGCACATATAGTTTACATAATTGTAGATAATACTACGATAAAAATCGTTAAAATCATTTCAGGCGGAAAAAAGGAGGTTCTTGAACAAGTCAATTTCGATTTCAAGAAAGCAATAACACCCAGAGTTTTATCTACGCTGCCAGAAATACCGATTACTGTTGAAGAATTACGCTCTTTATATTTTGGCGACAAAGCAGTGTCAGAAGAAACTCTGAAAAATTACGTAGATTTTAATGGCGACCAAGAATTTTATCGAGGTCTTATGGAAGCAGTTGATATTCAAATAAAATCTGGTCATAGTTCAACGTACCTATATAATTTTTCATACGAAAACGAAGATTGTCCTATGAGAAAAATGATGGGTATTACGCTTCCAGGTACTACATCTGATTAATTAAAGATCTTTAATTCTATGTAGAACAAACATTGTCACACCACATAATTATAAAAAAGTTTTATTCTTCAATTTACATGTTATTTTAAGAAATATTGAATGTGATTCTGCTTGAAATATTTTTTTATTAAAAAAAGAAAACTAAATTGTTTTATCAGTATATAGAAAAAATATTATGTCAAAAATACTAGACTATAATTTGTTCGAAATATTATTACACATTTTATGAAAAATTTGGAAAAAATTATTATTACAATTAATTTACAGTTTGACAATATTTTGTAGGAGTGTGTCATGCAGAGGATTTGTACTACTTATTTTATCCTCATATGATAAAAGATTTAGGCTTCTTACCGCCTGAATTGGATTCGGAAGAATACAAAGTAATAAGTCGCTGTGTACAAATGTGGACGGATTTTGCTAAAACAGGGTATGGAATGAACTTAATACACACCTCTTTCCAAATCTTAGAAAGAGTGATAATAATTCATTTCTTTAACCTAAACCAATTTCAGAAATCCAACGCCTACTATTACCGATTTGATTCCGGTCAAATGGGAACCATTAAAAACCGAACATACATATAATTATTTAAACATTGATACTGAACTTCGAATGAAAACCCTCCGAAAAAAAGAGCAACGATGGGATTGGAAGAACATGAAGATGAAATTATAACACTTTGTGTGTGTTTATGAAAAATAAATAATGATAAGTCTTTCTTAGTATTAAAATTAATTTTTTAAACATTTGGGATTGATAATAAATACTTTTTCGTGTATCTGTAAAGATTTTTTACACCAAAAATTTTTGTACACTTGTACGATAAATGTTAAGAGGTTGCTATCGCCTGTATCTTATTCCGAAGTTTACGACATCAAAAAAACAAACATAATGAAATACAACATGATAAATCGGTTGACGCAAATGTGGACTGATTTTGATAAAACAAAAAGCTGCACATAACATTTTTTTTCAATTATATATAATTCTTACGATTTAATAATAAATAATTTGGAATTAATTTTAGAAGTCCCACGCTTAATATTGCGGATTTAACTTCGATTAAGTAACTATCATTGAAGTACAATGCTAGAGCAAATTATTTAAAGATTTAGATTCAATTTTAAATAAACACCTTCCGTAAAGGACAACAACGATGAGATTCGAAGTATATGAAAAACAAATTATGACGCGTAAAATATTTAGTATTAAAATTAAATTTTATAACATAATTCATATTTTTTACGAATATTTTTTTCGTCATTCTTTGAAAATATTTCTTGTATTATCATATTGCAAAAATATTATAATAATATATTTTTCTAAATCTATATATTTGCAATAAATATATAATGTAATATATAAAAATAAAGTAAAAGTAAAATTTTTTTATTTTTAAAATTATATCAGTCTTATAAAAAAATAATGTCATTGACCTGTATCTACAAGCACCGATAAGATTGTATAAATAAAAAAGTTGAACGCTACTCATATCTTTATTGGCTACATTAGCCAATTACGCAGTGACTACGCAGTTTACAATCTCGTCAACCACATCCATCAGTCATTCCATTTTTCAGAGGAATAGCTGTCATTGGTCAGTTTCTTAACAACGGATATTATTAAAGCCGATTAGGGATGACGTGTAAACGCAGTTAATAGTGGTATATAACTACGTATGGTATGGAGCAGCAGTTCAGCATTCGCAGTCACACTGTGTCAAACGACAGACATATTAACGTTATTCTCTCGTCATCCATTCAACATATACATCATGGATAACAATAGAGTGAATGTGAATGTCAGTGAAGGAAAATTAATCGGTATCATCACAGAAAATGTCTACGGTGACAAGTACATCGCCTTCCGAGGTATACCATACGCGAAACCGCCAGTTGGAGAACTCAGATTTAAGGTGAATATAGAACATTGTTGTCTCTAATCTTCAATCCTAATTTAACTTTAAGTCTGATTTAACTAACACTCTGTAAAAGAAATCGGTAAATTTACATAACTAAAATGTAAAAATTACACGATAAATAACAGAAATTTACTAAATATATAATGTAAATTTACATAATTTCATCTATTTTTTAAAATATATTTGCGATATTTATCAGGTAATTTTTATATCTTAGCTGTGTAAATTTATCGAATTTTTTTACACTGTAGCTTATTTATCACATTTTACTACGAATTTTTCTATTTATGTGAAATTAAAAAACTAACCAACATAACATTTAAAAACAATGTATAACATTGATAACATTATTTTCAGCTATACTGCGATTATCTCTTATTCGTTTGATAAAACTGATAAATGATATGCATTAAACTCATGTTACGTAATGTGTAAAGTTTGAAATGTATAACAGTCAGTTTATCATAGCAGTGTTTCATAAATAAACAAAATAATATAAATGCAAAAAAAGATGTAAATAGATGTAAATATAAATGTAAAAAAAATAACATTTTATCTCAAAGAAAGAAAAACTACATTTTAATATCTGTAAAACTGATAAATATTGGTTACGTTTATTATAAATTTCTAAAGCTTTTCCATATATTTACAAATTACCAATATTCCAAACTACAAAGTTCAACATAAATTGTAATATTGGAAATCATCTATTATAAATAAATATGTATAAATGATTGTAATTGAATTTATTAGCTAATTTTACGTATTTAGGACCCGGTACCACCGGAACCGTGGTCTGGTGACAGAGATGCATCGAAATTTGGAAACAATGCCGTTCAGCTGGATATATTTACGCACCAAATAGCTGGCAACGAAGATTGCCTCTATTTGAACGTGTATACTACAAATATAAACCCTGAGAAAAAACGTCCCGTGATGGTGTGGATACATGGTGGCAGCTTTTACAACGGTTCGGGCGATGACACTTTTTATGGCCCTGATCATATAGTCCAAAAGGATGTTGTACTAGTTACGCTAAATTACAGATTAGGTGTTCTTGGTACGTCGCCCATTTGTAATATAAACTATTATGATACTCGTAATCGACTAAATTTTCAAAATAAATTTTTAGAATCTTAGTTTCTCGCATTTCAAATTACATATTGATTCGGAAAACAAACAATTCTGAAAATCAGTTTTCCAGAAACAAAGTTCTATCAAGAAAAGAAGTTTTATTTTCGTTTTCCGGATATATTTTTGCACATTGAATTATTTCACATTCGTTTTTACTGAAAGATATGACTCTTTAAATACGCTTCTTCTCAGGTTTTCTCAATTTGTACGATAAAGTGGCGACGGGCAATCAAGGTCTGAAGGATGTAGTCATGGCACTACAATGGGTTCAAAAAAATATATCAAATTTTGGTGGAGATCCGAGAAATGTTACCATCTTTGGGGAAAGCGCTGGTGCAGCTACTGTCCATTATTTGACTATATCTCCATTAGCTGAGGGTAAAAACCACAACTTTATTCATATATACACAATGCGTTTAAACTACTATGTGCACAATTACGGATTTGTTGACTAATATGCAATTGATTTATCCTCATGAGTATCCAAATGCGAAACTTTGGAATATATAAAAAATAAAAATTTTTTTCAGTTAATTTCAAAATATAGCTTACTGTACTCTAACAATTTTAAACTGCAACATCCAAAATAAAGTCAGATTTAAAAAATAAATAGATATTCAAGTATTCAAATTAAAGAATTTGTTGTTAATAAAACTATTTCCCTAAATATTTTCATTGAACCAAACTCTCTAAATAAATCAAATTGATGTAGTTTAAACGCTCGTTAACGCTATGTGTATGCGCCAGGTTTATTTCACAAAGCAATTGCGCAAAGTGGCGCTGCCACGAATCCTTGGGCTTTTACTGAACGAGAGCCCCCTTCAACGAATATAGGTTTTCAGTTAGCTGAGAAACTCGGAAAAGCGACCACAGATGCCAAAATCGCATATGAGTTTCTCAAAAAAATTGATGCCAAGAAGCTTATACAGACTGAACAACAAGATCTTTTGACCGAAGAAGTAAGTTTCTTTAAATTTTACAGCTTTATATATATATTCATATTTTAATATGTGTGGTTGCAGTCTTAATTATGAATATGCAGATTTATATGTAAATAATTTTCGTTCTTTTTGCAGAAACGTCAACTGAGTGTTGTGATATTCACACCAAGTATGGATAATGAGTCATCGAACCCAATTTTTCCAAAACCGATAAACACGTTAATTAATCGTGGAATAAAAGTACCGCTCCTTGTAGGATATACTAATGACGAAGGATTGTTTGTAAGAAGCAACTTTAGTAATCGTAAGTACACTTATTTTTACTTTTATTAAGATATGTTTTATTCTAAACGTTATAAAGTAAAATATGAAAAATTTTCCTGAAATATTATCCACTTGACGTGCAACTCGATACATAATAAATTCACATATAGTTTACATAATTGTAGATAATACTACGATAAAAATCGTTGAAATCATTTCAGGCGGAAAGAAGGAAATTCTTGAACAAGTCAATTCCGATTTCAAGAAAGCCATAACACCCAGAATTTTGTCTACGCTGCCAGAAATACCGATTACTGTTGAAGAATTACGCTCTTTATATTTTGGCGACAAAGCAGTGTCAGAAGAAACTCTGAAAAATTACGTAGATTTTAATGGTGACCAAGAACTTTATCGAGGTCTTATGAAAGCAGTTGATATTCAAATAAAGTCTGGTCATAGTTCAACGTACCTATATAATTTTTCATACGAAAACGAAGATTGTCCTATGAGAAAAATGATGAATATTACGCTTCCAGGTACTACATTTGATTAATTAAAGATCTTTAATTCTATGTAGAACAAACATTGTCACACCACATAATTATAAAAAAGTTTTTTTCTTCAATTTACGTATATTATTTTAAGAAATATTGAATGTGATTCTGCTTGAAATATTTTTTTATTAAAAAAGAAAACTAAATTGTTTTATCAGTATACAGAAAAACTATTATGTCAAAAATATTATACTATAATTTGTCCGAAATATCATTACATATTTTATGAAAAATTTGGAAGAGATTATTATTACAATTAATTTACAATTTGACAATATTTTGTAGGAGTGTGTCATGCAGAGGATTTGTGCTACTTATTTTATCCTCATATGATAAAAGATTTCTTACCGCCTGAATTGGATTCGGAAGAATACAAAGTAATAAGTCGCTGTGTACAAATGTGGACGGATTTTGCTAAAACAGGGTATGTAATGAACTTAATACACACCTCTTTCCGAATCTTAGAAAGAGTGATAATAATTCATTTCTTTAACTTAAACTAATTTCAGAAATCCAACGCCTACTATTACCGATTTGATTCCGGTCAAGTGGGAACCAATAAAAGACGGAGATACATACAATTATTTAAACATTAATACTAATCTTCGAATGGAAACTCTCCGTAAAAAAGAGCAACGATGGGATTGGGAAAACTTGAAAATAAAAAACACAAAGTTATAAAACTTTGTGTGTATTTATAAAAAATCAATTATAGCAAAATTTTTTCAGCACTAAAATTGATTTTTTAAACATTTTGGACTTATAATAAATGTTTTTTCGTTTATCTATAAAAAAGATTTTTGCACCTAAAATTTTTTACATCCAAAAATTTAGATATAAAAAATTTTTTACACCTAATTAAATATAACACATTTTTATATTCAGTGCGTTTTATATTTGGTGAGTGAGAGTACTAGCATTATTGCTCTTTTAAAGATTGAAATCAATTTCTGTTTGAAAAAACGTCGAGACACTAATATTTTCGTGCTATAACTCTTGCGAATAAACTTTATTGCGAGTAGATTACGTGTGTGTATCGACGACGAAATCGAATTTCATTCGCGGCCCGATCATATATCCACATTATCGATAGTAGTCTGGAATTGAGTTTGGAGATTAAAAAAAATTAAAGTAAAAGTAGTACATGCACTACAAATAAAAAATAAACAGCTTTCTCTATATACTTTTACTTAACTTCACGTAAATACATCTATGTCATATTCGTATTTTTCATACTACACATTTGTAAAATTTATAAAATTAAAAAAAAAATTAGGTATTGCAAATATATTATAATATAAGAGAGGCATTAGAGAGGCACATTTCAATCATAAATCATAACTGGTTTGGTTGGAGGCATGTTTCAACCAAATATATTTGTCATCGTCACAAAAATTTGGTTTCTTCAAATATTTATCCTAGTGTACACACAGAGAAATAAAAAAAGAACAATCAAATATACGTTACGATCTGTATTTGGCACTATTTTTATATATTTCAGTAAAAGTGTTTTTTCCGTGTATTAAAATACCGTTTATCTAGCCGCTTAAAAAAGAGCAAAACTAATAACCAAATATTGTTCTAACCATCACCATAATCATCTAAATTCGGCTCGTATAAATGTGACTTATACATGATAAGAGATAAGAGAAGATAAATATGTTTATACATATAAGAAATACGTTCATACGTATTTAAAAAAATAATATTGCCACATCAACCTTATTCAAAAAGCATCGGTAATATTGTAAACAAAAAACAACGATTCAATAAACCACTTTAGTAATCCGCATTGCAAGGATTATCCGAGTGATTTCATAATCATGTTCTGTTATACGATACTACGGATACACATTCGGCTGCAGAATTTTGCACAATCATCTAACGTCAACCATTGGATCTGATAACATTCTTTTCTCATCGCTTTTTCAATGTGTCCATTAAACAACAACAGAGTGGAACAGAGTGGATAAACGTGCGTGAAGAAAAATTAATCGACATTGTCGAGAAATCTGTCTGCGGTGACAACTACTGCGCCTTCCGAAAAATATCTCACGCAAAACCGTTAGTTGGAGAACTCAGATTTAAGGTGAATATATAGCGCTCTATTGCTAACGATCACTTTTGTACGATTAAATAATACGGGGCGTGTAGAAGAGAGAATGAAATGTCTCGTAAGTGGGTAGAGTGCAATTAACTAAACAAGAAAGTCCTTTAGACTGTAGGATATACGCTCTAGGTGTATCAGTAATGAGTATCGCACGGCAATGAAAAATAAAGTTTCTGCTCACTCACTGCTCACGTGTTACTTGTCCTCGCCGAACGATCAAACTTTTCTCATCGTCTAGTCGCGCGAAACACGCGAATCATTTACCAATCCTTTTAGAATAGACTTTAATTTACCGATATATTTTTCTAGGAGCGTCTCATAGGGAGGATTTGTTCTACTTATTTCATTCTCATAGGATGAAAGATTTCGGCTTGACACTACCTGGACCTGATTCGGAAGAATATCAAATAGTAGATCGCTTAGTTCAGATGTGGACGGATTTTGCTAAATCTTGGATATGTTACAAACTTAATATCTTTTTCCGAATCTCCAAGTATGTTGATAATTATTTTTTAATCAATTTCGGCAATCTCGTTATCACGGATCCTGCTATTTCTTTAAAAATTTATTAAGCTAAGAAATATAGTAAAATACGAAATTAAAATAAATGATTCAAATTATCATCAAATATCCATATTCAACGTACAAAATAAAAATTTTGTACCATCGTAAAATAAAGTAAAAAAATTTTTTGACAGTAAAACAAGTTTTAAAAAATATATAGCGCGGTAATATCGCAATAATATTATCCTATGCATCATTTTTCGTCTCACTGATGATAGCAATATGTCATTCACAAGAAGAAAAAGTGTGCGTAATAAATGTAACTTATGAGTACAGTTGAACATTTTTTTTACATAAATGTTATTTTTTAGGTCTAAATCCTTACAAATTATCGTTCACTTTTTGACGATAATAATACAGCGAAAGGATTAAGTTTCCAATTTAATGTGAAACATGTTTAATATCTACAGATTCAATCAATGTGAAAAGAAATAATTCAAAATTCCATTGAATTGTGTACTTTGCAAAATTGCAAATGCAAAAATTAGTATAGTAGAAAAAACATTTAAGCTGTTTGTCACTGTATCATTTAACATAAGTTATTGTAAAAATATTTAAAAGAAAGAACCAAGTTTTGCTTTCAAAAATGCTTTTAAATAGATGGCTTATAAAGAAACGATTTATAATCAGACAGAATAGAAATAAAAAAAATATATTAATATATATTTTCAAAAGTAGCATTGTTGTCAATGCCATTCAAAAAATTCCAGTAATAATATCATGAAAGAAGATGAAAATAAACGAGAATCGTTACTCTTTCTCCCTACTCTCAGCGAGAATCATCTGAGTGATTACGTAATCATGCTCCGTTATAAGATACTACGAATACACGCGCACTCGACGAGAGTCGCACTTTCATACGAGTCCACAGTTTCGCTGTGTCAGTCGATCGGCTTGTTCACACTGTACTCTTTCATCGCACTTTTAACGTGGCTACTATGGACAACAACAGAGTGGATGTATATGTATGTGAAGGAAAATTAATCGGCATCGTTGAGAAAAGTGTCTACGGCGACAATTACATCGCCTTCCGAGGAATACCTTACGCGAAACCACCAGTTGGACAACTCAGATTTAAGGTGAATGCACAGCGTTTCATTGAGAACTTAACTTTAATTCGAGTTTAACTAGCGGTTTGTTTGAATCTTTTTCTATATATTTCTTTCTATCTAAAACAGAAACTAAGAAATAAAGAGAGTAAGTGTATTGACAGTTAAAATTTACTAGTAAATAATCCTGATAAAATAATTATTAATGACCAATATATTACGATTATCTTATCTGTTTCATAGAAGTTTTCTACAAGTTCGTGCTTTATCACTACAAGTTTATAAGCATTATTCATTCCACTGGCGCAACTTATGTAATATGTAAAGTGTGCATCACGTTTCTCCTTCAACTAACATAACAATATTTTATAATGTAATCTAACAACAGACAGAAATTAAGTAAAGTATTGAATTGTATTGTAAGCATTAAAAAATCGAAATTTCTAATGTTTAAATCAAAATATTAATAATATACAATTAAAAAATGGTATGCAAACAATTTCTAGTTTTCTAATTGACGTTCTGTTAACATTGCTACATAATTTTATACATTTGCAAAATAATTTGATAGATTGCATTACCAATTTTTGACAAATTTGAATTCTTAATTTAAAGAAATTGAAAGATGCAGCGAATTAGATAATATTAAATTTCCAACGTGTATTTATTACTGAAAATAAATACGTATATCATAAATACACTGTAAAAAATTGCCTAAAAATTCAGACACATTTTTGTCTGAATTTTCAGATCTGGGTGCCTGAAAGTAATTTCAAACAATCTGTCTTAATTATCAGGGTAGTTTTTCTGAAAGTTCAGAATAGTGGCGCGTCTGTCCGAAAAATTTAGAATTGGTGACCAAAAAATTAGACAACATATTTGAAAGCAGCATCTGTCTAAAATTTCAGACATGCTGTGGTTTTATAACCCGATGCGTGGATGTTCGCGCAGTAGCGAAGACGCAGTAGCAGTGTAACAAATGCAGTTGAAGCAGTCTCAACTGACGTCGCGTCGTGGAATCCATTACGGAATATTAGTTAGGCTGATGGCAGAGAACGAGATGTAAGTCATAGTCGTGGACGTATGGTAAGGCAGAGAAAAACGTAAGTCGTGAAAGTTATTGTGTGGATACGTTTCACGACTTACGTTTTTCTCTGTCTTACCATACGTCCACGACTATGACTTACACCTCGTTCTCTGCCATCAGCCTAACTAATATTCCGTAATGGATTCCACGACGCGACGTCAGTTGAGACTGCTTCAACTGCATTTGTTACACTGCTACTGCGTCTTCGCTACTGCGCGAACATCCACGCATCGGGTTATAAAACCACAGCATGTCTGAAATTTTAGACAGATGCTGCTTTCAAATATGTTGTCTAATTTTTTGGACACCAATTCTAAATTTTTCGGACAGACGCGCCACTATTCTGAACTTTCAGAGAAACTACCCTGATAATTAAGACAGATTGTTTGAAATTACTTTCAGGCACCCAGATCTGAAAATTCAGACAAAAATGTGTCTGAATTTTTAGGCAATTTTTTACAGTGTAATTGAATATAATATGTTAGCAAATTTTATTTAGGATCCCGTACCGCCAGAACCATGGGCCGGCGGCAGAGATGCTTCGAAACATGGAAATATCAGTATTCAGATGGATTCATTTACACAAGAAATGATTGGCGATGAAGATTGCCTTTATTTAAATGTGTATACTATAAATATAAATCTGAGAAAAAAACGTTCTGTAATGGTGTGGATACATGGTGGTGGTTTTTCTTCGGGTTCGGGCGATTCGAGTTTATATGGTCCCGATTATATTATTCAGAAAGACGTTATACTAGTCACGCTAAATTACAGACTAGGTGTTCTCGGTACGTTATTCATTAGCTCGATATCGCATTCCTAATATTCGCGATTCTTTTTTACATGTAAAAATCATTTCATATTCAAATATACTTCATTAAGATTCTTCAATAGTATATGTCCTCAGGTTTTCTTAATTTAAATGATGAAGTAGCAGCGGGCAATCAAGGTCTGAAGGATGTAGTCATGGCACTACAATGGGTTCAGAAAAATATATCAAAATTTGGTGGCGATCCGGAAAATGTCACTATCTTTGGCGAAAGCGCTGGTGGAACTATTGTTCATTATTTGGCTATATCTCCAGTAGCTAAAGGTATATAGATAAAATATATAATCTTAATATTAATTTTTTATTACTTTCAAGTAAACTTTACAAAAAAAAAATTTTAATGCAATTTCTAAAATTTTAATTAAGATTTTGCATATAAAGAATGTATGTAATGTTAAACTTTTCGAAATAATTAAAAATAAGACCAATTATTTCTCTCAAAATTTTTTATTTAAAACATCGATTGCAAATTAAGAAAACTGATTAAAAAGACTTCAATTGCTTCTAAAATAGCTATACATTATTAAAACATTATTAAAAGAAATGAAAAAGATAGAAACAAGAATTTATGATGATAAAACAAATACACATAATTAAAATATTTTTATCTACTGTATGTGTATGCGCCAGGTTTATTCCACAAGGCAATTTCGCAGAGCGGTGTTGCCACGAATCCTTGGGCCTTTACCGAGCGAGAGCCTCCCTCAACTAACAAAGGTTTCCAGCTAGCCGAGAAACTCGGAAAAGTGACCACAGATGCCAAGGTTGCGTACGAGTTTCTCAAAAAAATCGACGCGAAAAAACTTAGACTTGTTGAACAAAAAACTCTCACGACTAAAATGGTTAGTTTTTTTTTGAAAATTTTATTATAATTATTTTAATATTACTGCAGTATGAATTATACAAGCAAGCTGTACGCATAAAGTAATTTTATTCTTTGTGCAGGAAAAACAACAATTCTTTTTGTCGTTCTCACCCAGTATGGATTACGAGTCATCAAATCCGTTTTTTCCAAAAGACATAAAAACGTTAATTCGTCGCGGAGTTAAAGTGCCGTTTCTTCTAGGATATAATAATTGTGAAGGATCATATTTTATATCTATTATTTATAATAATCGTAAGTACATTTACTTTTGCCTGCACTAATATATCTTTTATTATAAGTCACTTGTTCCTTATCAAAAGTTTCTGTTAATCTAATAATATAATAAAAATCATACAAATAATTTCAGAGAAAAGAAAAACGAGTCTTAAGGAAATCGATTCCGATTTCAGGAGAGCCATATATCCCTCAGTTTTGTCTAAACTGTCACAGATACCGATTACTGTTGAAGAATTACGCTTTTTATATTTTGGTAACAAAACAGTGTCAGAAGAAACTCTGTTGAATTATTCAAATTTTTTAAGCGACGAAGCATTTTACCAAGGCATTATAGAGGTGGCTGATATACAAAGCAAATCGAGTAATCGTAGTGCAACGTATCTATATAAATTTTCATATGAAAATGAATCTTCTGTCATGAGAAAAATTATGGGCGTTACGCTTCCAGGTACTGTCTCGAATAATGCATAAAAAAATATATCTTTAAATCCATATAGAACAAAAATGCTAAAATAGATTTTTACAATATATATTATTTCAAGAAAAATGGAACATAATTTTAAGATTTTTTATAAAGATATTTTTTAGTAAAAAAAATTAATAATTTTTAGTATATATGTATATATAATATATTATATTTGGAAATACTAAATATAAAAATGTAGAATAGAAAATAGTATACTGATTAATCTAATAGATGACAATATTTTATAGGAGTGTCTCATGGAGAAGATTTATTCTACTTATTTTATCCTCATAAAATGAAAGATTTCGGTTTAGAACCTCCTGAACTGGATTCAGACCAATACAAGATAATAAGTTACTTAACACAGATGTGGACGGATTTTGCTAAAACAGGGTATGTCACAAACTTAATACCTTTTTCCGAAAGCGTGTACAATTCATTTCTAATTCAAATTCATTCATTTCAGGAATCCAACGCCTGCTGTTACGGATTTAATTCCAATCAAGTGGATGCCTTTAAAACACGGAAATACATGCGATTATTTAAATATTAATACGGAACTTCGCATGGAAACTTTCCGTAAAGGAGAACAACGATGGGATTGGAAAAATATAAAAAATAAATTATAATGCTATGTCCGCATAAACCTTAATATTGTTATAGGAAATTTGAAATCGATTTTTTTTTATTTATTAGTGAAAATGTCGAGAAAATATCGGGCTAGAGAATAAACTTTTTACGAAATAACTTTAAGTATAATTAAAGTATTCTCAAATGTGATTATAAATTTATTTTTAAGATTTTAAGGAATATGGTTAAGATTTTATAGAATATAATATTTTAAAAATAAACAAAATAAACATAAAATAAATATAATATCAATTACTTTACTAATTATTGTCAAAAAAAGTTTATATTAGCAGAAATGCCTAAGTTACAACGACATCATTGAACGTAAAATTTCTTATCAAGAAAAAAAAAATTTTTAATCAGATCCAAAATTAAGCAAAGACGTATGTTATAATAAAAGATTATCAACTGACAACATTTTGATTTTATAACACACTGAGAAGTGAGCATTAAAATCTTACAAGATTCTAAGTTACATTAGATATAATTACTTTATTTTAAATTTAACGTAAACGTGGTTTTCTCTTCATTTTTTTCCAGAGTGATCACGAATACGCGATCCCACGTCGACGCGTTGTTTGAATAGATAACAGAAAATGTTTTTGTAATTTGTTTGTGATGCTCGGTTCCTCTAACGTATAAAGGCAAATTCTATAAATTATATTCGCTACGTGATTGTAAACGTAATATTCGTTGCAGTCGAAAAATATTTTTGCAATGCGTTCGATACTTTGATTCTATTTGAGAATTCTAGAATAGAATTGTTCTAAAATAGATTTTAGAACAGAAAAAAATATGCTCGTTATTCCAATTTATTTTTCTAAAGTGTTTCTAAAGAACATTTTATATTAGATAATATATTATAATGTGTAATTTTTTAAAATTGCTATCTCTTATCTCTAACTTTTGAGTAACTAGTCGTTTCGCAATTGAAACTGTATGAAGTAAATATCATAGATTGAGTTAAAGAAAAGAAAAGGAATAACCTTGATGCTAATATTCACTCATTTCGCATCACGATAGTCTGTCGCAAGTTTTGCGATTACTAATTTTGCTTTGATATACATAATCGCACCTCATAGATCGCTTGTCTAGTTGATGCATCGTTCTTCCAAAATAGCTATTATGGATAGCATCAGAGTGGACATATATACGCGTCGGGGTGAGTTAATTGGCATCATCGAAGAAGATGTTTACGACAGGCGTTACATTGTCTTCCGAGAAGTATGCGAAAGCACCGATTGGTAAACTCAGATTTCGAGTGAGTAAATTGTAATAAGCTTCATCGTAACAAGCGCATACAACAATAGCAGTTAATTTTAATCTTGGTTCAACTGACTGTTTATCACTCTCTACAGGCGAAGTTAGATATAATTAATTGCTTAAAACAGATTACACGTAAATGACATTGATAAAACTAGCTCTGATTATGTTACGCAATGTTATCATTTTCTCAATTTTATAATATAATAAAATATAATAACCCGTAATCTTTCAAAAAATTTCTGAATTTATAAATTATTAAATTTCGAATTTTAAATAAGCAAAACAGTCAGTCATAATCGAATATCTTTTTTGATAAGTAGTGAGCATCTATTATTTATTTATACGATTTTGAAGCTTTAGTCAAAAACTTTTCCGATCAGAATAAGTATTTAGTTAACAAATGTCCAGTATGTAATCAATCAATAATCGAGCAATCTGATTTACGATTTTCGACTGATATCGATTGCTGAAAGTCTACTGTTTACGTTTCTCCTTACATGCTTGACAGAATGCATGATATGCGAGAACTTGTGCAAACGACGCTTATAAAAACTTTCATAGTTCATTGTTAGCAGTAAGAATGTTTCTAATCATATTACATCCTACTTCGTTGGCAAAAGCAGAAGTAGATTAATAATGGATTAATTATAATTTATAGGCGTACTTGCTTTTTTATCAATTGTTTGCAGAACATACATACTTCGCAACTAATTCCCATCTCTGGTCTGGATGTTATTGAAATTTTGCGATAAAACTGGATATTAATCTTTTCGTATATCTGCATTCGTATCTCTGATCCAGACAATTAGCATATGTAAATTTCTATTCTTGCTTCTAGCAAGTTGGCACATTTCTCTCTATTATCAATTTACAGGAAACTATGGAACAATCTGTAATTGTGTGTGTTTTCATTAAAGATAAATATGGAATTGAAGATAAATTATTGAAAAAAAATTTTACGTATTTAAAATCTCGAAAATATCAGTCTGATAGCAGAGACGTTTCGAAATTCGAAAACGTAACCGTTCGAACTGATACGTTGCACAAACAAATTGACGACAAAAATAGCATCTATCTAAATGTACATATTATAGATATTGAACTGGTAGAGAAAAACATTCTATGACGTGTAGATCACTCTGCCGGCTTTTATACAGGTTCCGGCAATGCATTCTTTTACGGTCCCGATCATATCATCCGGAAGGACGTGGTCGCTTTGAATTATAGATTAGATGTCCTCAATACGTTGCCCATGCGATACGCAATCGTTGTATGTTACTCGCGTTTAATAATCGATATTTCTGAGCACATTTAAATTTAACTTTTTGAATTTTAATGGAATCTCGCTTACTGATCTCGATACTGATCGATAAATTTTCAAAAGCGATTTTTCCGAATAGAAAAATCGATATAAAAATTTCTATAATCTATGATTTGGATTCAAATTTTTTAACATAAAATTAGAAGGCTTTTATAACACAATACTGCCGCATTAATAAATCGAATCAAATAATATAGTTAAAATCGCGGGCAGAAATCTGAAATCAAATAATTCGACTCCAAAATTTTCGTGTAATATTGTTAAAAGTTTTAGTCCTCATAATTCTCGCTACAATTTTAATTGCGGTTTTACAATTTTGTAATAAAACTATCGTTTAACTTAGTTTATCAACAGAATAATTTGTTTACCAGCGCGATATAGATGCTGATCAATTAGTTACAAATAATTAAAAGACTTCAACAAATATCAATACATTTATGAAATATTTTTTTCTTTTTATCATAGCAAATACCTATGGTTAATTTAAATAAATTAATTTGCAACAAAAAAACACAAATAGTATAGCTCTTTAGATTTTTACAATTTATATCATAAAACAGCAATGAACAAGAATTGGAAAATAGTCAAGATTTGCAATGAAAATCCAACGAAATATACCAGAATTTGCTGACAATCGTGAAAATTTCACTATTCATCAGTAACAGCTGACTATTGTGCAGCTTTCACTGCTGTCAGTATATTAAGGATTTGAATAAGGATATTCGCGAATTCACCAATATATATATATATATATATATATATTGTATATCTATAGAGACATTGGGTATCACCAGATACCCAGTTCAGAATCTCCAAACACGCGTTTAATCACAGATGTATTCGTCAATTTAGAATCAATTTTTTAAATATTTAAGTGCTAATAAAAATTTTGAAATAAAGAATATAAAAGATTCCCCTTTTTCTTCCTTTCTCTCCCGCGAATAAAATTAACAGATAAAAATACATTTCCTATAATTAATTTTAATTAAACTATTGTAAAAGGAAGAATTTAAATTAGAAATTTACAAAACTTTTACTTTTTTCTGCTGCTCAGTATCTTACATATTTACAAATAGAGCAGTTAACAGCAGAGAAAGTACAGAACAGTACAGTCCTGGGGATCGTTAGGTTTATCGTCCTTGGAGCAAATGTCATGGAATCTCAAAGCGCATGCGTTTCTTCTGACGAAGCAGTCGCTTATTCGTCGATTATTGCGGTCTTATCAACCGATTCGACCGCGTCGTCTATCGATTGGTGAATCACTTTTTCGGTGAAAATAAGGAAATGCGAACTATATACCAGTGTGAAGTTTAGGAAAGGGACAGTTACAAAGTATTGTGTAATCAATCCACTTGATTAAGCGATCTAACACTCGACGGCCAGAGACGTGTAAGCGATACGTGGGAGCACAAGTCAGTGCGTGTGAATAACGTTGGCAATTAGTTACCTATAACGTTGTGAACTGCGGCACGGAGCTGCCTTCGAACGGTTGATATACGGACTTCTTCTATTTTTCTCGCCGCGTGGTTCGTCTCGCTCGCGTATTTCGCGCATTTCGACAACGACAAACATCAAAATTTACAGTTACAATCACGTTACATTTTCCAAAATTCCCATTTTTGCGAATTCATCGAGTGTCGATTTTGATATACTTTAATCTGTGCCGAACGAAACAAACAATATAATCATCTGTATTCGCATATCAGACTTATTTGAAAGATAGTGACAGTTTCGTTAGACAACGCGAGGAACGTGTGTAAACATTGTTTAGAGACTATTGGTTAAATATTTTTCGTTCGTCTGTGGCTTTGTCTTTAAAGTGACACGATGAGTGACACGATGAGCAACACGATGAGCGACACGATGAATGTTAAGATAGAGTGCGACATGCCTTATTTGCGAGCGATTCAACAGATACCAGGTAATACTCCTGCTAAAAAATTCTCTTGGATCGGAAGGTTAGCTGCGCGGGACCAAAAGGCCGGCGGAGATCGCGATAAAGTTCCGCAAGAATTGCAGTCCTTATTGCAAGTGGAAGCCGCGATCAAGCAAAATACGCCGGAATATGAAAAAGATATAAAGTCCGCTTTACAATCCGAAGATTCAATGATAAATCGGCGAGCTCTCAAGGCTTCGTGGTTCTTCAATGGCAGCTGTAAGAAGACGATTAATGCCGAGTACTTCTGCAACGATATTTTTCCAAACGTCTCGCTAAGGACAAGGACATCTATAATAAATAAGTTCGCAAGTAAGCTGATCGGCAGAGACCCTGTGTTCGCGGAGGAATTATTTACAGCAATTACATCTGCTTATGACATTAAAACCGCTCTCCCATTGATCATAGCATGCAGGGAGTCTTTCATTTATGATACGATTGTGGAGAAAAAGCTCATACTGCCTTACACAATCGTCAAAAAGATTTACTGCATAAACTCGCATCTTGCAGCGCGCTACTTGATATTGTTAAAACCTAATAACATTGATAATCCTTTTGCAATCGGCATTCAAAAGTATACAAAAATAGTGAAAAAATTAGCGAAAAAACATGTGGAATATTTCGTCACATTGTGTGTAACACATGCATCTAATTTAAATATTATTCTAAGTAAAAAGTCTGCTGGAATATTCCTGAAAGAGGCGAAGATCCACCTGATAGCACATCCGAAAATATTCTTTTTTATGCTGCCACTGAAGATGATCAGTGCGAACATAATGGAAACTATCTTTCCGAAATTATTGCCTGATGAGCGTAGCGGTTTCAACACAACAAATGCACTCGACTGCTTAAAATTCTATTTTCCAAAACAGAAAAAAATTGAGCTGCTCTTCAAAACGTATAAGGACAAGTACAATGCTGAACTTCTCGACAACCTGTATAACGTGACGCCCGCGTTGCTGCAAATATTACCTACTGAAAAGCGAATCGAGCTAGCTCGTAGTAAAATAAATCATAGTAAAATAGAACAGGATGATGAATATACTATACAGAAGGAATATATTATGAGACATACTATGGAACGTACTATGAGACATACTATAACATATACTATGAAATCATCTTATAAGCAAACTTGGATTTGCTACTATAGTACTAAGGAAGCGATACCGTTGCTTATGGAAAGCATACAGAAATCTTCAGGACCTTGGGATAGAGCTGATTACATTGGACAAATGATGTACTGTTGTAAAGTCAATGATGATAACGAAATGCTTGCCGAGGTCATCAAATATATTATAGCTAGACATAAAAACGAGAGATCTGATGTATGCCGAAAAATAATAGAATATTTTGCAGAAATATACGAAGATGCGGTTTTTTTAGATGAACAACTGCAATCTCTTGTGTTCGATATGATTAATCTTTTTTACGTAAAACACGGTGTCTCAGACAAAAGGATAATCGCATCTTTGACGCAATTCAAGCTTACTAACAAACTGCCGATCACAAATTTGATGCAAATGTTAATAGAATTAAATATACAAGAAGGTTGTGAAATCTTTAACATACTAGAACAATATCCAGTGTTCGAGAGAAAATGTCTCGAAACCATAGGAGATATTCTGAGCGACAAATATTTTTCAAGTGATAAAATAGAAATGACAACTAAACAACAAAAATATCCATTGATCCAGTTTATCAAAGCAATATATGCTTTCAACAAGAGATGCAAAACTTTGTATCCAAATGTAAAGCATTTGACAATTACAAGTTATCCAAATCTATTATACGATGTTTCTGCAATATTAAAATCTAATGATTATTTTCGGAACGCAATAAATGATATATTGAAGAAGAATGAACCAACTTTGTATTATTCGATAATTTCCAAAATGGACATTAACATGGAAACTAATATCGCGGATTTAACGTCTAAATCAGGGCTCAATCAATTGAAGAGAAATCCACTCAACATACTGAACAACTGGGAAAAATATTTGGAAAAATACAAGAAACATCTCAACGAGAAATATTTCACCAAAAACATGCAAAAGTTTATCAGAATTGCACGCTGGCACCAGGACATACCCATCAAATTCGCCGAGCGTTGCATAGAAGAGTTAAATGGAGATAAACATAAAAATCGGTCTTCCTTAATTATTCTAGGCATTCTGCTTCACGGTGACACGCTGACGAAAATAATAAAACTTTTAGTATCAAACATAACGGTAAATGTTTCTAAGCAGGACGATAGGGATAGTTGCTTGTTCGTGGAAATTATACCTCATTGCATAAAACTTTCCAATCCACCAGTGTCTTTCGACATCATGATTAAATTAAGCGAAGGAGATTACTTGTCAACCGCGTTGGTAGCGTTAATAAATATAAGTAGACGATCTTCTTTGAAGAAAGTCTTGTTATTCGCGCAACAGTTGATATCAATGCGCGTCGGCGCGCGAAAACATGGAATTAGACTATTGAGTTCGGTGTTATCTATGCAAGAGTATATCAATCATCTTGATAATCTCTGGAAGACTGAGAAGAATTTTTCGATACGACAAATTATATTCGACGAAGTGGAGCAATTCTTCTCAAAAAATCCATGTGCTGAAACTTGGTCTCTATATTGCAAAATCGTTTCAATGGCAACTGTGGAAGACAGCGAGATAATATTGTCGAAGATGCAGCTGGATTCTCTCACGCAACGCCAACTTAACACAGTTGCACCCAACGCTATCACACAATACATTGAACTATGGTTCTCCACAATAACTCGTTTTCAAAACGACGGTATGACGAACGAGGAGTTAAATCGAAATCTTAATAAGTTTGTGAATATTCTAAATAAAGAGGATGTCGTCGAATTTGTACCCGATGAAATAGCCGATAACATAATTAAAAAATATTTATTTCACTCCGAGAACGTAATAGCCTCGCTATCAAGAAAGTTCGCGCTGCTATATATTTTCACTAAAGATCAAAATAAATTCCAAACACGCAAGACAGTGTTGATAGAAACTATCCGAAGCGCAACAATGAAATGGAACGAACCTCATCCCTTGAAATTCCGTTTTTATCCGATCAATTATACTATTCACTATTTCATAATCGAGTTCGCCAATAAATGCGTTCGGTCTCGCTATCAGCAGTCTTTTAACTTCAATATGATAGACGATATGTTGCATATATTCAAATCGTACTTGCTCCCTACACAAGACATGGAATCTTATTTGATGTTAGAATATACAAAGCTACTACTAAAATGTACGTCTGAAAAAGAAGAAGATGCCTTCGGTTTAAGACTCGGTCTATTTGTTCCATCTTTAATTGACATTTTCACACCGTTATTAGTTCATTTCATGGCCACAACTCTTGATCAATTTTTAAGAAATGCATATATCAAAACTAATGACGAGAACACTGAAAACACGATCAGGTGCAAAATCATGAACGGCCTCATTCATTCTGAGCACATACCGTCCATTGTCCTAGCTGTGATATTGTTATCGTTTGAGAGGCGTGATGAAATATACGATGATCTCATTTCTAAATTTATGCATATAGATCATCCTGCGGTAACAATTATTTTACATAATTATCTAAACAAAGAATATCAGTGAAATGGAGTGAATTGAATAATAGTAGTAAACAAATAAGTTTTATACGCGTGTATTGTTCCATCACTTATTAAAATAATAAATAGTGCTTTCATTAAGTGAAATTAATGTGATTTAATTATAACGATGAATGCATTTTTATACGCGTTGAATTAATACCTGTGTAATTTTTTCTCATAAAAAATAGATCTTAAATTCTATGCGAAATCTTCTCCTCTTTTCTTTTCAAAGTACAGGATTAAAGATTTCTACGAACGCTTAAAACTTTTCTGCGGTAAAAATATGTAAAAAAAATTGTCAGTTAAACATATAAGACAAGTAAAATAATGAGAGAGATATCTATGTTTAAGCTTTCATAAGAATTTTATACACGCAATGATATGATATGAGTTGCATAATAAAGATTATTTCAGCATTTTAAAGAAACAAATGTTATTGCATAATATGCATCCATTTTTCTCAATACATTATTTATTTAATATTAGTAATTTATTTAATTCATATTTAGATAAGGCAAATACTGGATGCATATTTTGCAGCACATAATGTCTTTTTGTAAACAATTAATCCACCACTATTTTCCCGAAAAAACTCTTCTAAAATCTTTCTTAATTGCTTATAAAGATCGAGATTTCATAGCAATAGTAAATAATAAAAGTTCTCTTATTCTTACATCCTTGAAACTTTTGAACCGATTTCGAATAGATCAGACGATGTTTATCTCTCTGTACTAACGACAACGGGAATGCTGTCGACGTGCTAACTAAACATATCCGCGGATATATATACAGACATATAAGAGCAGAATTCCATCTTCTAAAATTCTCTCGAATTATAGATCGTGCGAAATGGACATCTTCTATATTTCATAAATTGAAATGGAGACGACTAATATCGTCATGTAACTGAACTAATATCAGCATCTTTTATAATAAAATTATCTAATTATATTAGATGATCTGATAAAAAATAAAATCAATAAAAAAATAGACGATAAAAATATGACGTAGATAAAACTGGAAATACCGAGATGTAATTTCGATTCTTTCGAAAAAGTAGAAAACATGTTGCTGTATATAATTCATAAATATAACTCGCGTATCTATTTCATAGAATGCACGTAGAATTTCATACTTAAACATAAAAAAATAATCCTATAAAATACTTTCCGCCGAAAATAACATTTGTTAATTCTCACATCGATATAGATATTAGTATGGTACTTACACGATGCATCGAAGCCGGTGATGAAGCTCGGACACGGTGCGTACACGGTCGACCCTGCAGGAGTGCTGGGCCAGCAGGACCACCCATCAAATGTAAGAGGACAGTACGGTTCTAAAAAAGAAATTTCAATACATAATTGCCACTATATTACCGCGATATAATAGATCCAAGATTTTGCAAGACATGTTGCTATGTTTGATAGCACTAAAATTGCACTAAAATTGAGTCTTGATGCGTAAGAAATTGCAAGAAGATATAATAGCATCGTGAGAAAAATATTATCGCGCTATCGTCGCTGCGACAAATTGGATAAATGTTGCCGTGCGCGATTTACGACGCTCGTAAAAGGACAACTTCCAATATATCACTCATTACTGATCACTAGAGAAATAGAGATATTCCGATGTGTAAAAGGCGTGGCTCTCGTATACACGTGATACGCAAAGCCGTAAGACCGTCATTGTGCGAACAAATGAAATAAATTTGCCCAACCCTATTTTTCTAAATTATTGCAATTGTGCACATAAAATAAATCAAATTTGGAATAAAAATAGAATGCTCTAAAAGTGGTCACAATATTACACTAAAAAGTCATTGATTCCGGATTATATTAAAAAATTATTAAAATTATCTGACCGATTTATTCTAAAATATTATAACATGCATACATTATAATGCAATATTGCATATTTTCATAATTTATATTTGTATGTGGAAATACTTCTCGATATTATTTATTAACTTTCTTTTAACATATCATGTCACAATATATTTTGCATATACATATACTTCATAAATATACACAGAATAGACTCATGTATAATATATAAAAGATAAACTTTCTTACTATATTAATGCAAAATCACGTTTAAGGGATTCCATCATGGTTACAAGTTCGGAAAGTTCGCATTTGCTCACAAGATCTAAGTTTCGAAGAAACGCTGATAACACGGATTTCATTCGAGATCTCTCGCGATTCCGCCAACTTTTATTGAAAATAAATAATTCTCTTCCTTTCTCCGTGACTAGCCTGAGGGACCGACATATATGCGATCGTAGAAAGAATGACTGAAAAAACACTCACATGGAACATTTTTCCGCTCGAGTTCCACGAGGCAAGATAGTCGCACATCTTGAAAAATTAATGTTACGGAAGTAGCAAGAGTAAATTTTCCAAGACTAATGCTACTGTCTGTTTCCATTATAAAAATTTCGTTCATCTGTGCTAGTCACAGAAAAATTTATATGTGTGAAATGTCTCTTTGCGTCATGCAAAACGTATTGTGTACATAATACATTTACGTGTATGAAATAAGATATCGCCTTGGCGAGCGGCACATCACGTCAGAGTTTATTGCAAATTATATACATTTTGGAAGCTTTTAAATCGTCACGATTGATGGAATCGCTTTTAGATACGATCAAAGGAACTATCTTATGCATCGAACTTGAAAAGTTATCTTGATCAGATAATTCGAAAACGAAAATATTACGAAACTTTTATCAATCCGTAATTTCTTGTAATAAAATAAAAATTTTTTAAATGATATCGCTTTTAGATACGATCAAAGGAACTATCTTATGCATCGAACTTGAAAAGTTATCTTGATCAGATAATTCGAAAACAAAAATATTACGAAACTTTTATCAATCCGTAATTTCTTGTAATAAAATAAAAATTTTTTTAATTAAAAATTAAAGAAATAATTAAATTTAACTGTCAATTAATAATCCAAATAAGTTTTATTTTAATAGAACTTTAACGCTTAGCTACTTTGTTGTAAATACACAAAAATAATTATAATTAACAAAATATAAAAATGATTTTCATCCACGTTTCAGCCTACATTCAATTAACAAAATTTGAAATAGAAGGATTAAGGGCCCAAAGCAAGATCTTGCCAAAAGTTCTTCTTTTATTCTTGATATAGATAGAAAATTATAAACGTTTCGATCAATGTTTCGACAATCTTCAGTACATCAAGTACAAGCAGTCTAATAACTTATCATCGTAAAAGAAAAAGAAAAATCATGTTCGTCGGACAGCAATCATTACGTCAAATAACATTAAAAGGTTGTGAACATCTTAATTTTTGAAGTTGACAAACTTATGTATCACGAGTGACTGTCGAGTGACAGTCACTCGTGATACATAAGTTTGTCGAGTGACAGTCACATTTATAATTTTCTATATCAAGAATAAAAGAAGAACTTTTGGCAACTAAAATCTTGCTTTCAGCCCTTGATCCTCCTATTTCAAATTTTGTTAATTATAATTAACACTCTACTTATTTCTTGCTTACTTTATAAATTATACCAAATATAAATGATATTTAAATAATATTATTTATAAAAAGTTATATTACTAAAAATTTAATAAAATCGCAAAAAAGTAAAGTAAAATTTCGCATTTTGAAATGTGTATAAATTTTGAAATAAACTTTTCAAGTGATGAAGAAAATCAAGTTTATCACTTCAAACGCGCTGGCGTAGACCGGTCTTCCACCACCATTCATCGCGTTTATTATCTAGAAATCTCTGGAAGGAGAAGGGTCAGTATGTTTAAATTGACTGACTGCCTGTGAAAGAGTCTCTACAAGACCTTGGACAACGAACGACATCTTGTTAGTTCGTCTCTTTCATCAGCTGATGTACATACTACACAGTCATCGTGTTATTGAACAGTGAGTACGAACAACGACTGTTTTTATCATTATCATAAGTTATAAGTGCCACGTGTTATCCGCGATATTGCATAAATTTAATAAAATCGACGTATTTGTTAAAATACGTTGCTTGCACGATACTGTATCGCAAAATTATACACGGATAATAAGCAGGAATTTTGCATCAAGATTTTTCAGAACGGTAATGAAAACTATTATTTATACTACAAACATTATCCGGAATTGAAGTTTAATATTTATGTCCAAAAATAATTCTATTTGTGAACTTCCGAATTATATGTGTATTATTATCTTTGCGCCATTCTCTTTTATATGCTTATACGTTAAATCGCAATGCAATGAATCTGTGATGTGTATATAACTGTGTGCCCTACCATATGATAAGACTATAACCTATAACCGCGCAACACGAAATATATTTTATTCAAATGCAACAAACTGAAAACCGATACCTATAATACGATTATTACAAATCAGGCGAGAAATTGATTTGATATATATGAGTCGCAAATTTGGTGTATAAGACCAAAATATTGAAAACAATTAACACATATTACTTGAATGGAAATTATGTAATGTAATTGTTACATAATACACATATTAATTCGTATAAATTATATTAATTTTCATTTAAATAACACAAATCTCGTTAATTTACCTTTCAGAATTAAAGAGATTTTTAGATATTGAAAAAAAAGTATAATTTATAATAATCTAAGTTCGAGCGTGTTGTTAAAGTTATTTCATTTTCATGAATATTATTAATAATTAACTCTGAGCATAATTATTGAAAATGTTTCAAACAACAAGTTGTCACTATGTGAGTTGTTATAACGCTAAAATTAACATATAAATATTTATATTGATTTATTAATTTCGAAAAAAAGATTTGGTCAGCATTATTTTTGAAACCAAAGTTGTGCACGTGTAAACATTCTTATCTTCTTATCTCCATCATATCGCAACAATGTAGAAATAATATGTCATATTTTTTCAACTTGATGCCTCTTCAGATACATTATCACTTCATAATTGGACAGTAGCTGGCTGCAACGCACATCAGAGATTACATAACGTGCCAAACGCTATCGGATGTAACACATATTGACAGTAAATCAGAATGAAGGTGTTACTATCGGTTCTCCTCGCGATTTTGGCATGCGACCAAGTCGTTAATGGTTACCGGATTCTCGGTGTATTCCCGCTCAATGGAAAGAGTCATTGGGTCATGATGGAAGAGCTGATGAAAGGCTTGGCGAGACGCGGCCATCAGGTCGATGTAGTCACACATTTCCCACAAAAGACGCCGATACCAAATATGAGGGAAATTAGTCTAAAAGGCAGCGTCGACGCCGTTATAAATAATCTCACTGCAGTGGATATCCAAAGATTTGGCGCCTTGTCTATGGAGTCATTAGCTGAAATAGCCGGAATGCGGATATGCAAACTGCTAGGTCATCCGAAACTGCAAGACCTGATCGAGAACCCGCCGCAAGATCCCCCCTACGATCTCGTTATTACGGAGGTAAGATCGATACTCTCTCAAATATGGACACGTGTGTGTTCATCCTTGCATGTAATTGATAAGAAAATTTCTATATGCATACGTTGACATTAATTATTCACTTCTGGAACTTAACTTTTTCTAAAAAACAGATAATTGTCCTATTTAGTTAAAAAATCTATCATTTAAATATATAATCTAAATATATCAAAATATATCTAGACAAAAATAGTATAACACTTCGTGAAAATATATATTTTAATTTATACTTAAGAATGTCTAACAATTGTCCTATTACTCAATTTTTACGTTACAAATATTCTGCATTATTTCTTTTAACTAAAAGTTTAGAAAAGACAGAAATTTACTTGAAACGAAAAAAAATGGTTGGCAATTAACTTAAATTATCGATAAGATTAATAATTTATCGTGAGATAAGATAAAATGAGCAGCAATACACAAGTAACATAAAGTTCACAAAACTTAACATCGCGAATAAATTGTGTAAAACGCGAAAACTTTATTTAACACAATGTGTAGATATAACAAAGTTAATAAAAACGTGGTTAGATTAAAAGCAAACATTATTTAATTAAGCCAAAATTATTACTGCTTTTAACGAGATGTTTAATTAACTGACTCGTTCTATATTCTGTAACATGGCAAGTCGTTAATTATTAAATATTCATTACTCGCTGAAAACAATATAGCATTAAATTTTATTAAAGTTGCAACGCTTTAATAGCGAGAAGCAATTCTTGACGGCAAAATCCCTGACTCATTATCTCAATAATCATAATAATATCGAGGCCATAATAGTAAAGCCATTAAATTTGAGTGGTCTCTTGCAATACCTGATGAATATTGGAACACATGTTATATCGAACAGTGTTATATCAAAACTGGCGATTTTGCAAGGCTATTTTTAGGTTGTTTTCAAGTCTTGGTTATACTTATAATCTTTTCATGACTATACATTTTTCGCGCCAAATACTTTTTGCACGATTATAATGATTATTCTATGCTAACAAGGTGACGCTATTCGACTTGACTGATAAATTCTGAAATTTTGCGATGCAGTTATATAACAAGAGTGAGTCAGCTATATATAATCACATAATTCTAGATGCCAATTTTGTGAAGCAAGAACGGTAGACATTGAAATATGATTTATGATACTGATGAAAATAATATAATAAAAATATAAATATGTGCAAGCAAATATTGTATCTCGCATCACATTATTATCATTAGAATAACAAATATATCACAGAAAAGCTCTATAAATTTATTAAATCGTTAATTGAACGGATTAATTAAATCCAACCTTGATTTAAAGATTAATTAATTGATAAATAAAATTGAAAATTATAATCAGTTAATTTATATATTGTTTAACTTAATTATCCATATATTCATTAAATAGCAATGTAATGAATCAAGTTAAATATTACAATAATAAGAATAGTAATGATTCTTATTAAACGTTTATTCGCTCTAACTGCAACAACTTGCACCTTTTACGTTTAAAATGGAATTGTTATAAATTCAGGCTTTGTGGAGTTAATGAAGAATGAAACAAAACGGAAGATGCAACTGTAACGAACAGACGTAATGACATGTGAAATTGCTACACTCGATATGATAAAGCGACAGCGTTTGAATGTCGATGCGAAGAGAGAGAACTGTATGATACTTGTTGCGTTATTCAATTTGCTTCATTCAACGCGTATCGAAGTGTTTAGAAGCTCTAACGAGTTTTTATTTATTATATGAAATGCATCGATAAATTGTATAAAAAATGAACTAAGCGTTAATCGTGAAAAATCTAATTTTATTATGTGTAAAGTTATATTCGATTTAAAAAAATACGTATTATTGAGAATATTTTTTATATAAAGTTTCTCTCAAAGCACATAATTAACACAAACGAATGGCATTACTCAATCACTAGATGATGCAATTCATATTTTGATGGTCATATCTATTTTTCTCGTTGTTACGTACTATGTGCTTTAATGGATGATCATTTCTCGTCTCTATCGAGTGCTACCTCGAGGTGACGCCGCATCAAGGTCCGAGTTGTAGCTTAATGATTAGTATATTGTTAAATGACCGTGACCTATGCACAACCGCGTGTCTTTGCAACCGTGAAACAAATATATGACTTGCAATATCACGAGTATCCGCATGCAATACCGCGAGTGTAATTATAAGATGTAACACGCCGAATGCGAATAATTGATCGATCGACTGATATTGTGCGCAGCTGTTCGCGGCACCATGCTACCTGGCCTTCGGTCGTCATCTCAACGTCCCCGTAATCGGCATGGTGTCGAGTGTTTTTCACGACTGGCTCAACGAAATGGCCGGTAATCCCATGAGTCCTACCTTCGTCCCCAGCTTGTTCTCGACATACGATCAAAATATGAATTTCAAGGAACGTCTATTGAACTTCCTGCTGACAAATTACATCACTTGGCAAATGCATTATTACACCAACTCCCAGCTAGAATTAGTGAAGAAGCACTTCGGCATAGATGTGCCACACATTATGGACTTGTACAGTGACGTATCCTTGTATCTAGTCAACTCTCATCACTCCATAAACGGAATCAGACCGATGACCACTGGCGTGATCGAGGTTGGCGGTTTACATCTCAAAGACGATGACGATCCGCTATCACCGGTATGTTTGCACGAAAATTGCTTTTCCCAATTATTCAGAACGCATGTTTGTTCTCTTTCTGGATACAATAATATTTAATTGCCATCGAGACAAATTTGTATTCCAATTTTTGGTTATAAATATAATTCTAATATTTATCTTTTCTCTTCGTTAAAAATTGAATAAGAAATAAGGGGACAACTACAAGTAAAAAAATTGTTTTGCAAAAAACACAAAATTTATTATTTAAATAAATACAATATAAAATTGATCATGGAAAAACCCAAATTTATATTTTATACATTCAAAAGCAAAATATATATAAAAGATAAAATATACTTTTATTAAATACAATATTTATTTCTGATCTGCGCATTCGTAACAAACAAGTTGTTTATGTTTGCCATAAAATTTTGATTAAAATAGTTAAATATTTTCGATATTTTACTAATATTAAAAATTATTTAAAATTCGAACAGAAGTCGACAATTTTACTTTTTGACAAACGATTTCAAAGCATTTTATGCTGACGTCTATTAAGCAAGGAAGAAAACAAAAAGCATCGGTCGATTTGTCGACATTAGAATCAAAACACGGAATCAAAATAAAGAATAGCTGTATCATCGTCAACTATTTGTTGGCAATATTTCTATCGTGTACTAACGTGACGAAAATCTAGATCTTTCTTGAAAAATAATCATAATTATATTATCATATGAATATGCGCGTAGCAATTATGGCAAAGATAAAAAAATTATGCTTTTATCGTATACTTCATAATTCAATAAACTATCCATTTTTTTCCAAATTTGTCTCGAAATGTAGCATTTTAAAGACTGGCTTTTATTGAATCTATTATACATTTAGAAACATCGTGTTATATTTTTAAGTATCCAGTAAGACCAGAGGAATTACTTATCGCAAATTGTTTATTCTAAAAAATTTTGTATATAGGAAGTGCAAAAATGGTTGGATGAAAGCAAGGATGGTTGTATCTATTTTACGTTCGGTTCTATGGTAAGAATCGAAACATTCTCTAAAGAACTGTTAAAAACGTTTTACACGTCTTTCGAGAAAATCGCACCGACCCGTGTGCTGATAAAAATTGCAAAAAAAGAAGAGCTCCCGCCAGGATTACCGAAGAACGTCATGACGCAATCTTGGTTCCCGCAGATCACCGTTCTCAGTACGTAATCAGAATGTAATTACGCTCAATCGGTTACACGTCAAAATGATAGATCTGCTACCTTCATAATAATCGTATATCAGAATCATTTGTATGCGACAAAAATCTGCAGGTTTTGCTGTAGCATTTACATATCAATTAAATAATTGTTCAAAACTTTAGAACTGAACCATTTACATTAGTTGAAAAATGTTTTTAGTTGAAAAGAAGTAAGCTATTTTTATCACGTGCATACAAAAAAAATTGCTAGCGTCCAAAATTAACGTTTAAAGTCAAAAGAACGTGTCGTGATATCAATTTCTCAAAATATTTAAATACGCAAAATAAATGTAGATGCTTAAGCGTTACACAAAACCGTAAAGCAGTTTTTCGGAAATATCAATTATAAAACTGATTATTTTTTTATACGCAAAAATTCTTTTAAATAAATCTGTCGCTAATTCTGTACATTGTATATTTGTTAAATCCAATCGGAATATTCTTATATTGAAAGAACGCATTGCTGTAAATTTTGCAGAACACAAAAACGTACGCGGTTTTCTTACGCACGGTGGACTTATGGGGACATTGGAGTCGATCTATTGCGGAGTGCCTATGGTCGGTATTCCCTTATTTGGCGATCAACGCGTAAATATTCAGAATTATGTCAACAAGAAGGTGGCTATTTCGCTCGAGTCGATAGACGATGTTACCGAGGAGAAATTAACTTCGGCATTAAATAACATTCTCAAGGATCCCTCTTATCGGTGAGTATATCTGAGACTGTAAATGCTTAAGCGTTGTACAATTGCCTGTTAATCATGTGTTTAATGAAATCATAATATTGAACGTGAGGATAAAATACGAGTGCAAATATAGTTAGAATTAGAATTAGCATTGGGGCGTAAGAGTTGTATAAACAAGTTTGAAAAATAACTTCCAAATCGAGATCCACTGCTTTACATCTTATTAGCCTGTGTATCGATCTGCCATTAGTTATACAACGGAATAAACAGAGCGTGTGCTTTCTATTGTAATCAAATCTTGCTTAACTCTCCAATGCATATCGAGGATTAACTCTAATCAATCGGTATGTACTTTAAATTCCACATCCGTTCTATCTGCATGAATCCATCCATTCTACGCACAAAAACCTCTGAATGAGATCAAAATGCTTTAACTGGGCGAATACGAATAAAAAAGAAAAAAAAATGTAAAATCTACGTGAGATAGATCGTGCACTTCTAAGATTGAAAAAAATCCCAATTTCTCGTTATCGTGTTATCCAGCAATAAAAATCTTCATAAACGGCAAAAAACAAACGACAGCGAGTTTCCTAGGTTTGACAGTTCTTTTTGTAAACACCAAACTTGATATATCGATATTCTAACTTTTCCTTATTCATTTCAGCAAAAATATACAGAAGCTGTCGAAGATGTATCTCGATCGACCATCAAGCGCCATGAACACATCTATATTTTGGGTGGAATACATCGCAAAATACGGAAACGTGCTTAAATCACCAGTTACTCGTCTTCATTGGTGGCAACGGAATTTATTTGACATTTACGCCTTCATCTCTCTTGTAATTATCGTGGTGCTTTATTTGGCACTGTTTATCCTCCGAACGTTGAAGAAGCTCGTATTTGGATCGCGGGCTTGTGCAAAGAAAGACAACGCAGCGATTAAATCGAAGAAAAACAAATAAAGATAGGAAACTTTAATGAACTTTACAAGTCATTTAGTAGATTCGCAATTTAAGACTATTCATTCTTTAAAATTATGAAAATACCAATGCAAACAAATTTTCTAAAGAAAATGTTTTCTCAATGTTGTATATATCAAGAAAATGTTGATGTGTATATATTGCAAAATATCCTTTTTAGTAAAATACATTTTTAATCGATTACACGAGTGTGAATTTTGATGTAACGAATAATTTAGCTCCTATTAATTATCGTGTGATGTATAATCGCATACATGTATATCGTGTGTGTCATGTGTATGTGTATTTCCTATATGCATCACACACATGTATGCGCGATGTTAATAATTTAATTTGTTTCTACCATTCGTCAACAATTATTGTACATATTTATAATCACTTGTTCCATTTAAATAAAATTAGATATATTAAGATATCACATTCGACATTCACCGATCGAACACATTAAAATGAAGCAGAATGGATCTGATCAAATTCATGATAAGTCATGTTGCATACAACAAAGACGTGTTGCGTGCGCTCTATGCGCAGCTCTTACTCGTCACTTTTGCTTCTGCTTCGTCGATTTCGTTTATTTTCAAACACGAAAGTACTTACCCGACGGCGGGGTCGTATTCGTGGCTTTCAGTTTCATGCATTCCTGCTCGCGTTCCAGCAGAATTCGACGAAGTTCTTCCTCGAGTAGCATGCTACCCACCGTTGTATTTCCCGGCATCTGTTCGACAAACAATGTGCGGAATATTAATGAGTTGTAGTGGCAAAAATAAGGTGAGTGATATATGTCCAGTACATGCTACGACTCGATTCTGTGACGTACAGCTACTTAGCATGTGTCACGATCTTACACCTAAAAAAAAAAAAAAAACAGACTATCGAAGCAGCCTTCGTTAACACTTGACATAGCGCTTACTTATTACTGCAGTATTTTGAAAAAATGTTACCTGAGCGAATTCTAACTTAATAAAATATTCATTTAAATTACAGATTACTCATTATAAGTTTTAAAAATAGTTTTTTTAAATAGCACAGTCTTGTATGTATTAAATAAAAAGATAGATACATTAAAAACTTTGGATTTAAATTGGACTTTTACTTTCACGATATTTCCATAAAGATTAAAAATTTAAATTTTATGCAGTTATTCCAAGCTATTTCTGTATTCTGCACTCGCGCTCTCGACTATATCTATTCTGCGGCACAATATTTATTATAACATCGACAATTTGCCGATTATTGATAAAAGACATTGTCACAATTTCGTCGCTCGAAACGTGATTGCCGCGAAACTTCGCGAAATAGATAGATATAAATCGACGCTGTTGGAAATTTCAATGCATTATGAAGGAAATCGCTTCATTGGACTACGACGCAACTCGTAATAACTTTATTACATAGAAATGAACGTTATTGCATCCGGTCGAGGTGTCGCGACATGAAATAATGAAGCGGAGCGTTTTACGACAAAGTCATTTTGCTATACGCATGCTAAACGAAGAAGCGTTCGATTCTCGATGTCAGCGACTCACAAAAGTTTGTCGGACGAATAATTCTCATGTACTAAATTCCCGATGTTAATTGAAGCGACTCGAACATTAATTATAACGAGAAACTTACATTTAAATATAATTTATATAATTTTTGTAAAATATTATACGCGTTACTTTTTATACATATTTAAAAAAAAACAGAATAAAACAATAAAAAGTTATACTTTTGGATAAAATTCATTCGAATTGATTTACGATAAAATAAAATAAAATATATATGTCATATAAATTTTATATATTGTGCATGTGATTGTATTTCCGCTTTTGTTGTAATAAAAGATAAAATTCATATTGCATATGTAGTTATTAACATTGTTATAGCTCGAGATGCAATCAACATAAAAATGTATCATTGGCACGCTTCAGAACATCGTAAATAAGCATGCCCAGCTGACAGGCATTATCGGCTTTGCAATGCGTACATTTATTACTCAGCCAACAGCACTCCACTTATTCATTAATTAGTTAGTTTGTACGGTTATGTCATGTGTCGCCTGTACGCCACATACGGATTACATTGCGCGCAGATCTAGATTAACAAAAGCCTTTGCTTATTTATGCAACGCACAATTTATTTTATCTAGATAGAACTATAAATACAAACTATATAATCAGAGTAATTAAATTAATTAAAAAATTAAACAAATTTTCATTTAAAAAATTACGCAATACGATTTCACCAAATATTTTGTAAAATAGAAATTAATTTTTAAGTTTAATCAATTTAATTGAAAATAAAAGTAAATCAAGCTTTTTTATTTCCAATTTTACATATCATTAAAGCGTGATTAGTTTTTTTATTGAAATAAAACCGAATATATTTCTTTAGAAAAAGTTACTAATAAACTATCACTGAATTTTGGAAACCACATATACTGCAATTGGAATTATTTTATTGTAGAAACAAACACAGTTTATTATAAAAGTATTAAATATATTAATACTATGAAAACAAAACTCAAACTGTCTACCGCAGACATATATTTTCGTCGTGATTTTTGTTTCACCGCTACGTTTGATTGCACGCCATCCGTAAACCATTTACAAACCGCGCTCGATAAACACAAATGACAAATGTCGATTATTCACGAAAAATCGGCGTTTCCCACATCTGATAAACGTAACACGGCTTTCCTAAATCAAATAGCCTAGTGAATAGCGAATCGCCAATTAACATCCAATTAAACGCGCCCACATTGCCAGAAGATTCACACATTTACATTTCACTGAAATTTCACGCCACGCCAAAAAAGTATACGCATAGTCCAGATTGCTGCATTTTTACGGCAGTAATTCCACACCATTCGCGAGTGAAACAAGATACTATTTATGGAACATAAAACGCGCCACTCGCGTCAAAATTGTTGCAAAGTAAAACAAGATGTAAATGTGCATTAATGGTTTTAACGCAGGCCGAAAAACAATTGAGCGCGAAAGTACCTTTACATAGCAGTTAAAAGCGTTTCGTTGAAAGTTTTCAAAAAATCCGTTAAGCATCATCGACGAAATCGAGTTGTAAAAAAAAGTTCAAGCATTTGTAATCGCGTCATTTGTAATCAAATTGTTGCATTTTACTAGAGTATCTCCCTACTGCACTAGGAAACGGATATCACCGTTCAGAATTCACTGATTGAAAGTGCACTATGCGCATGAACGGTGATAGGTGAAAGAAGATGATAACTGGAAACCAAAGGAAAAACGAAAATAAAATTGAGCGAGATCAAAACCAAGAGTAACAAGATTTCGATGCTGAATTATGGAACAGGCTTTTCTATTTTAACACTGGCTCAGCTGTCTGCTAACGTAATGCCGAGCGAGTCACATTCTTTTTTTTTTTAAAAGACACTTAACCCATATTTCTGTTGTATATTTCGTGTTATATATAGCCGATACACTTCCAGTTTTATTTGTATGAGTATCAAACAAACTTATTTAGCGATTACGAATTTTCCATTTTCATTTCGTGCAAGACGTAATCTTATCCGATTCTCGTCTTCCCAATAATATTATTAGAAAATTATAAGTCAAATTAAGATAATTATATAAAATTAATAATCAGAGAACATTTTGCGGCGTAATACGAATATAGATCTTCATGTTCTTTTACGTTTCGTGAATAACAAACTAATTTTACAATGCGCAGAACCATTTTTATGACGATAATACGTTTAGTAAATAGTAGGCGTCACAAGCTGTTGCAGCACGCACATAGAGGCACGTGTTTCTAAAAGATCACGCTCTTATTTTATGTTAGTGCTGTCTAAGTTTATAGACAACGCATAACGTAGCGTACATGCACGCTCCTACGGCAAGTATTACCATCTTGAAATTGACCGTTGCTTTTAGCGCTAAATGTGCTCGTAATAATACAGATACATGTATATAAGACACACCCGCAAAGTTACCGTCAAGTTGCGGTAATGTAACTTCCGCGAAATAGCTGCATTTCTGTTAAACTCGACATTAATATAATTATTTGCTATATTAATTAAAAAGAAACACATGATAAATTACAAAAATAACGCGTTAATCATAGGCAAAACCATATATAGCAAAAATATGATAATATAGTTTTTTTTTTATCTCCTGTTTACAGAATAATAAAAACATAATGCAGTAAAGTATAGATCAATTTTATATTAAGCACTAAATCCTCTTGCTTTAATAAGGGAAATAAAGTGTATATCATTGTTCTAAACTGTATACATGATTTATTCGCGTATGTAGCCGTATATAACCGTGATTTATCGCTTTCCACCAGAGTTGCCTCCTTTACAGGTGAAAATCCAATTTAAAGTCCGCTTTAAACCAAATTTTCTAAATAAATAAATATGCAAATAAATAATCATAGCAATGCTAGATTAATTAAAATGTGAAACCATGCGAACAATATTGTAATTTACTTATTTTTTTATTTTTATATATTTTATACTTATTTAATAAATAATACCAGTTCAATGCATTCAGAAAATTTTCTATAAACATTCTATAATTAAATTCAATAAATTTTTAATTTTCTTAACAGAGTCAAAGATTTTTTATGTAAAATTTCGAATTAATTAGTCCCAATATTATTTCGAGTCACGTTTCAATTAAATTCTTTATTCCACAGGAGCAATATATTTTTCTACGAACATTTTAAAAAATTAAAAAAAAAGTAAAAATAATTGTCGTAAAACAAGTAAGCAATTTATCAATGTTATACTATAATGTAAAAAAAAAACATGTTCCAAAAATATTAATGGTGTTCACTTAAACTAATGTTTTCATGATTTGCTTTTCTGTTTAACTTATTGGTTTAAAAAAAACAACTGAATTATAAAGAGATAAACTCATGTCATTTCAACAATAATTCGATTCAACAGATGTTTTTAACGTAACAGTCTGTGCAATTTTAAAATGCAGTCACTAATATCAACGAGGACTGGTTCACAGGTCTAGTTGCATTTCTTTTTGCGAGCATTCCTTAACTGTCATACTTGCGTCAGCGCGTAATTTGCATAACAACGCGATCGCGATATAAATAAATATCTGTACGATCGAGGGGCACTATTTCGAAAAAGATGATATACACGTATAACGACAGCTTGACGTAACCGATAACTCGACTTCCGTTATCATTCATAGGAACGTCAGACCTATCTTTGCGTCCCGCTCTTCTTGTCAGTCGTTTTCCAAGATCTTACATTGTCGAGTTGTTGATTGATGAGTACTATCGATTTGAGGGTTCGTGAGAGAATTTCACCTCGCCGATTGATAGAGGGATGGCGGAATATCGGTTAATCGACCGAGTCTGAAAGCCGATTTTGATACGGCGAAATACATTGACATAAATGCATTATTTTCTGTTTCATTACGTCGTTGGA